GGTATTAATTTACCACGATAGACTTGGAGAAAGTCAATATTTCGAAAGGCTGACATTTGTTGTTGATGAAGCATTTTCATTTGTTCAAAGAGATCTGCTAGGTAAAAGCGAATTTTGAACATCAAGTTTGGATCACCAGAGTCACAAACTTGGCCGAGAAGTCGATAGATGAAGACACTTCTTGTATACCACCATATCGCTAGATCTGAGGCATAAGTTCGATCGAATTGGTGAATTGCATTTACTAGTCGTGAGTCATTGCCGAATGTTTTCAGGCAAAACAGAAACAAATCAGACTGACTTCGAGATGTTCTTGAAGTATACAATAGTAATTTACTTAATAGTTGATTCATGACAAACTGTTCATTTGGATTGTTTAACTTCTTGATTGATGTTGTAGTGAAAGGCAGTGAAGAGTTAATTGATGATATGTGTAAATTGACGTCTTCATTCATTTTTCCCCACAATTTTTGCCATGGATTGATCTGTCCAAACTGATAAATAGAAAGTACATGTGGCATATTGAGAAATTTCAATTTAACTTCATCATTCAATGATTCACTACGAGATATGATCAGAATGACTGCATAGTTAGCAATTGCATGAAGACATGTCAGACAATCTTGAACATTATGAAATCGATAAACATATTGAGCTATTCTTTGTAGACCAACAAATAATTTTAATCGATAGCCACTGGTTTTGTTATATGGGAAAGATTTCGACGAGTTCCTCAAAGAGACAGAAGGTTCATCGTCGAGTTGAATGAAAAGAAAATTCTGTAAATTTTTCTCGGCAATGTTTAACTCGTCAATATCAAAGTCTGTCACAAATGCTCTTGCCATTTAAATCAAATTTTTGTTCTCACCTCTATGTCCATGTGATAGAAATGTCGAATTTGTGCGCGCAATTACTGACACAATCGACGAAGCTTTCACTCTTTCTTTTTCTGTTGACAAGGAGAAAGTTGTTTACGAAGCGGTGTCAATCAAATCGCAAACCATTTTACTTTGTGTTTCTGTTGTAGTGTACATTTTGTTTACATTCGACGTAACTAATAGAAGTTTTATGAAGTGGATATCACGTCTTTTCTCTTCGAAATTGATTTTATACTGTACTTTTTTATTTCTACTTTTCTAGAACTTAGTAGAAGACAACATAGGTAGTCAATACAAGACGACACGTAGAGCTCCACATTTTTTTTGCTCGTCGAAAGAAGTTTTTTCTTCAGACAGGAGTTCACAAAAATAGAGGAAGCCCCACAAAAAAAGTCTAGTGTAGCACGAAGAAATCTCTCAACTAAAACTTAACGGTGGCTATGGGTACTCAATATGAACAAGCAGCCGTCTGATGATTCCCTTAAGCAAGGACGAAAGTGGTCACGGCTACTTGTTCTTATGAAGTACAATGGAGTTGATGACACTGTGTGGGTGGGAACTGAGGCGTCTGTCACGATCTGCGATGGGAGTGGGGGAAGGAAAGGGGGAGCCACAAAGGGTGTGGGTGTAGGTCGGTGTTGGTGTAGGTGTGGGTGCGAGTGGATGAGGGTGTGCGAGTGGGTGTGAGTATGGATGAAAATAGCACGAACCCACACCCACACCCACACCCACACCCACACCCACCCACACCCACACCCACACCCACACCCACCCAACTATCTTAACAGGCTGCGCAAAAGGAGAAGATGTATTCATACCACGAATTCCCATGATTGCTAATAATATACCGTTTGAGTTCAAACGTCTTCAGTTTCCAGTGCGTCTTGCGTTCGCAATGTCTATCAATAAAGCTCAAGGTCAATCACTTAAAGTTGCTGGTATTCATCTGGAAACTCCTTGCTTTTCACATGGTCAGTTGTACGTAGCATGTTCAAGGGTAGGAACTGGAAAGAATTTGTATATTTTCGCTCCTGATGGTAAAACTCGAAATATTGTATATCGAACAGCTTTACAATAAAAATGCATATAAGTAAATTGTCTTCTTTTAATAAAAGTAACTCATAACAGAGGAAAACATCGAACGGCGATTTTGTTACGTTAAAGATCATTAATTAGAGAATGATTATAGCGGTATCGTTCTCTCTTTTATTAGATACATTACTATCAATCTATCTTAACCCTTAAAAGCCGAAAGGCCTTATCGTCGCAATTTGAACAAATTATTCGGTAAAACAGAAGGTGTAGTATCTCAATAAGAATCATTGATAATAAAAACAAAAAAAAAATTTTTTCTTACGGAGATATAAAATGTCCCTTGGAAGGGACATTCGATCGTAACGGTCCAAAATTTTTCACTGTTATCAATTTATGTAAAAGCAATTTTTTCTTTAAAATACTTCTATTTATATGTTTCTTATTACTCAAGAAACTAATTCAAGCAATATTTTACAATTTTTCAAAATTTACACACTATCGGTTTCAATGTAAGTCTCGCTCAAACTTTTCGGTCCGTTAAGACCGAATGTCCCTTCCAAGGGACATTTTCTTCATGCTATCACTATGTATCAACAGGTAACTTAAAAATTTAGGAAACAGTTTCATTCGGTAGCTTGCCTTTGTGCCTCTCAGAAAAGCCAAAATTCACGCTATATTTACGAAAAGGCAAACATTGCAAAATACAAAATTGCATTTAAAAAATTCATGCATTTTCCAAAACCTGCTGCGTCCCCTGACAGTCGATTTTAAGAAATTTCTTTTTCACTCTATACTCTATTAGGTCATCAAAGTCCAAAAAAATATTGGTCCATGCCTCAACGATTTTTTTACGTCTCCTATAGCGTTTTTTCAAATGTCCCTTGGAAGGGACATTCGGCTCTTAAGGGTTAACTGACATCGGGTACTTCCGCTAGTAGAGAATAATTTATAAATTGATATCACTTCAGATTTTTAAATTGAGACGAGTTTATCAGAAACATAAAATGGAAACAATTGGGCACATCAACACCCATCTTCCATATGGTTCTCAAAGCGTCATTCATTAATGATAATGTTTCAATCAGAGCAAAGTTCCTATGCAAAAGTTAAATGTTCGGCAAAACATTTAGTTGACTTCGAAATCAACGGCGTGCAGGACTCCCCTGAAATTCCATATTAAAAGAGAAAACGACACGACAGAAACGTGAATAGACGAGAAAATTTTCGATCGAATTTCCTGTAATTAGTTGATGCTGGATTTGAATTTATTTTTTGTATGTCGACATGTCCAAGAGCTTCCTCTGTAGTCGATTTTTGGAAGGGCGTGAACATTTGGAAAAAAGGGACTCTTGGAAAAAGCTG